ATGTACAGCATCATTAACCCTTTGGGACAAGCAAATCAAAACCACAAAGAGACACCACTTCACACCCACTAGGGTGACTGGGATCAAAAAGTCAGACGCTAACAAGTGTTGGGGAGGATGTTGCTGGAGGGAGTGTAAACAGGTACAGCTGCTTTGGAAGACAAAATGTTAAACACGGAGTTACCGTATGACCCAGAGATTCCACTCCTGATTGTGTGCCCAAGGGAAATTAAAACACATGTCCACACAGAAACTTGGTCACGAAGATCGGCAGTGGTGTCACTCGCGATGTCAATAAGCGAAGATAAACTGAGGTCCATCAGCGCAGGAACACCAAATGTGATCGATCCATGAGCAGAACAAAAAGGGATGCAGTGCTGAAATGTACCGCACAGAAGGCTCTTGAAAACATTATGCAAAGGAAAGATGCCAAGAGGCGACATACTGAATGATCCCATTTATATGAAATGCCCATAATAAGCAAATCTACAGACACAGAACTCATGCTAGAGGGTGCCAGGGCCTCAGGGAAGGGAGAATTGGAGACTGACTTCTAATAGTATGGGGTTTCTTTGGGGATGATGATGTTCTAAAATCAACTGTGGTGAGGGTTTCCCAACCCTGTGCCTGTACTAAAAATCACTAAATTGTACATTTTAAATCAGTGAATTGTACGGTATGTGAATTATAGCTTAAGAAAGTTGTTGTAAAAATATATTGCATAAATAATTACATAAGTGAAAATTTAAAAATAACACCAGAGACATCTGGTTAGATGGTGTGGACTCATCTCTCTCAGCTCATCCAACCAAACACAACTTTTAAAACCAGGGAATAATTCAGCAATTATAGGAAAAGAGAGGGAGTCTGACTGGGGGCCTGGGATTGAGGAACAACACTTGGAGTGTCCCAGGACCTACCCAGGAGAAGGCTGTCCAGGTCCAGGATCTCCATACCAGCCAGTGGTAGAAGGCAATCCAGGCCCACTGTCTCCCCACCCACCCCCCAGCAGCTGAGGGGAACTCACCTATCCTCCCCTGGGGGAACTGGTAGAGATCAGGATGTACCCTCCATCCCACAGATCCATCTTTCTGTACAGCCACCCACCAGCTCCGGGCAGCGAGGGAATTGCCTCTGTCCCAGAAATAAGTGGGAGCTTCTGTGGCAACAGGTGAACAAGACAGACCAGAGTAGGAATTCAGGGGCTCTAAAAAGCGAAATTATCATTGGAACCACAACCCACAAAAGTAGGCCAAGATGGGTCACTCCTGCAAAAGTGGAAGGGTTAGATCGGATTCGGAGTCTCCTAACATGATGTCCACGCTGCTCAGTTTACACTCTTAAAACTCACTTGTCGCACCAAGCATCAGGAAAGTCATACTGGACCTAAGAAGAAATAATCCACAGATGCCACCGCTGAGATGAATCGGATGTTGGAATTGCCTGATGGGAACTGTAAACCGGCCATCTCAAAAATGCTTCGGCACATAATTATAAATTACCTTAAAACAAATGAGAAACCAGAAACTCTTAGAAACAAACAACAGACAAACAGAAGTTACAGAACTAAAAAATACACCAAAATAAGAAGCTCACTGTACAGAGTCTCAACACCACAATGAATATGACAGAAGAAAGAATTCATGAACCAGAAGACAGAACAACAGAATTACCTAATCTGAGCCGCAGGGAGAAAAGACACGGGAGGAAAAATAACAAAACTTCAGGAAACCATGGGACTGTATGTAAAGGATAGGTCTAACCTTTGTATCATTAGACTCTAGAAAGAGAAGAAAGGGTGTGAAGCTGAAAAAATATCTGAAGAACAAATAGCAGAAACTTCCCAAATTTGGCAAAGACCGAGACATTCCAGAAGCCAGGCAAATCCCAAATAAGATAAATCGAAGAAATTTGCCGCACGCAATAATTAAACTTCTGAAAACTAATGACAATGAAGAAATCTCGAAAGCAGAGAGAAACAGCACTTTGCCTGTAAGAGTAGAACAATGGGCATAACGGTGGGTTTTTCTCAGAAACGCAGAGGCGGGAGGAAGTGGTACGTTTCTCAAGTGCTGAGAGGAAAAAGCTGTCGACCGTGAATTCTGAGTCAGGTGAAAACATGCTTTGGGAATGAAAGGGAAATAAAAACATTCTCAGACAAAGAAAACCAACACTTGGACCCTCACAGAACTAGGCTTCAAGAACACCTAAAGAAATTCTCCAAAGAGAAAAGAAATAACAGAAGCCTTAGAACTTCAGGAAGGAAAGAAAAGCAAAGGAGTGGGCCAAATCAAGGGTAGCGCGGTGGCTCGCCTTTCTCATGGGTTTCTTAACTGATGCATGGCTGGAGCAAAACTTGTGACGATCTGACGGGGCACGAAATACACAGGGGAAATAACATAAGCAATTCTATGTATTTTTAAGTGGGGATGGTGAGGGGAACAGAGTGGAAGGGCGGATGCCGTGCCTCTTTCCGAGTGCGAGGATGGAGCCAGAGGCCGATGACGACCTGGGTGGGGACTGTGACCCTAAGAGAGCCCTAAGAAAGCTACACAATATGTTATGCCCAAAAACGCATAAAAAAATTGAAGCAGGATTTTAAACAATGTTTAGGTATCCCACAGGAAGATGAGAAAAGAGAGAGAGATGAATAAGAAAGAGAGGGAATAAACAGAACACAGATGAAAAGATGGCAGACTTAAGCCCTGATATATCCCCCAAAAATCATATAAAAGGTCTAAACACAGTGATTAAAACACACAGATTGTCAGAATGGATTAAAAGAAAATATAGCTCAGCTGGGATGCCTGGCCGGCTCCATCAGTAGTGTGTGCAACTCGCAGTCTCAGGGTCATGAGTTCAAGCCCCATCTGGTCATGGAGACGACCTGAAAAAAAAAAAAATACAGCCCAACTATGTGCTGTCTACAGGAAACTCACGGCAAACATACTAATGGAGGTAGGTTAAAAATAAAAGAATGGAAAAATATATATAATGAAAATATTAGTAAAAATGTAAGAGTAGCCATGGTATATTATTTATTATGTATTACTATATAGAATATGCTACGTTATTTATTGTACAGTATAGTAAAATCAGATAAACTGGACTTCAGAGCAAAGAAAATTACTGGGAACAAAAAGGATCATTATGTAAGATAAAGGGATCAAACCATCCGGAGACACAGTGATCTTGAATGTGTACGCGTCCAACAACAGAGTTTAAAAATACATAAAACAAGAGTACAGAGTTAAAAGGAGAAATACACATCTGAAATTACAAAAAATAGAATTATAATCAGGGACTTGCACACCCCACTCCCAGCTACTGATAGAACTAGGAGGCAGAGCGTCAGCAAAGATCCGGAACTCTGGGCCACCAGAGGCCAATGCGATCTAAACAACGTTTGTAGATCACGCCACCATACGAAAGAGAATACACATCCTTTTCAGGCAGTCGTACAATTTCAACTGAGGTCGACCACATCCTGGTCAAAAACAAACCTCAACAAATTTAAAAGAATATAAATCATACAGAGTATGTTCTCGAATTATAGCAGAATCTAACAAGAAGTCAACAGCAGAAAGACCACAGGAAAATTTCCAAATACTTGGAAACTTAACAACAAACTTCTAAATAATCAATGTGTAAAAGAGGAAAGCTTCAGGGAATTCAAAAATGTTGAATTGAGGGGTGTTGGTGGCTCAGTCAGCTGAGCATTCAACTCTTGATTTTGGCTCCAGTCATGACCTCTGGGTTCCGGGATCAAGCCCTGTGGCAGGCTCCACGGAGCCTCGAGGTTCTCTCTCTCCCTCTGACCCTCCCCCCACTCTTTCCTTCTCTTTCCCTTTCTAAAATAAATAAGTTCTTTTTAAAAATATTGAACTGGGGTCGCCTGGGTGGCTCAGTGGGTTAAAGCCTCTGCCTTCGGCTCAGGTCATGATCCCAGGGTCCTGGGATCGAGCCCCACATCGGGCTCTCTGCTCAGCGGGGAGCCTGCTTCCCCCCTCTCTCTCTGCCTGCCGCTCTGCCTACTTGTGATCTCTCTCTTTGTCAAATAAATAAATAAAATCTTTAAAAAAATAAAAAATAAAAATATTGAACTGAAAAAAAATGAAAATACAACATATCAAAATTTCTGAACCTAACCAAAGCAGTGTTAGGAGGAGTAACTATAGTAGGAAATCCATATCTGAGAAAAGAGGAAAATTCTCAAACCAATAGTCCAAGCGTCCACCTTAAGTACCTACAAAAAAAAAAAAAGAGGAAAATAAGTCCAGAGCAAGAAGAAAGAAAATAATATAAATGAGAGTAGAAATCAATGAAATTTCCCCTCCCCCCTGCTCATGCACTCTCTCTCCCTCTCAAATAGATGAATAAAATCTTTAAGAAAGGGGGGCGCCTGTGTGGCTCATTGGTTGAGCATCTGCCTTCAACTCAGGTTGTGGTCCTAGGGTCCTGGGATGGAGCCTCAGCAGGGAGCCTGCTTCTCCCTCTGCCTCTACTCTCCCCCCGCACATGCACATGCTGTCTCTCTCTGTCAAATAACTAAATAAAACGTGTATAAAGAAAGCAACGAAATTGCAAATAGGAAATCAAGGAAAGAAAAAGCTCGTTCTTTGAAAAGGTCAATAAAGTTGGCAGACTTCAGACAAGACTGACAAAGAAGGAAAAGAGAGAAGATAATTACTAATATCAAGAATGAAACAGGAGGCATCAAAAGGGTAGTAAGAGCACTGAGATGGTTACTTTTATGTGTCAACTTGGCTGGGCTAAGATGCCCATATATTTAGTCGTACATCATTCTGGTTGTTTGTGTGAGGGTGTTTTTGGATGACAGTTACATTTATTTTTTTTTAAGATTTTATTTATTTATTTGACAGAGATCACAAGCAGGCAGAGAGGCAGGCAGAGAGAGAGGTGGAGGCAGGCTCCCTGCTGAGCAGAGAGCCCAGTGTGGGGCTTGATCCCAGGACCCTGGAATCATGACCCGAGCTAAAGGCAGAGGCTTTAACCCACTGAGCCACCCAGGTACCCCAACAGTTACATTTAAATTGGTGGACTTTGAGTGAAGTTTGCCCACTATAATGTTGGTGGGCCTCGTCCAATCAGTTGAAGGCCTGAAGAGCACAAAAGGCAGACCTCCCCAAGGCGAGAGGGAATTCTCCAGCAGACTGCCTTCTGACCTCATCTGCAACATCAGCTCTTCTTGCTTCTACCACAACTATTGGCAATCAATACAAGGACACTGAAATTAAGCACACAACCATTTACAATGGTTAAAAATCCAATGAAATATTAAGAGTTACCAAAAAAACATGTATAGAACTTGTATGCTGAAAATGATAAAATGCTAATGAAAGAAATAAAGATCTAAATGAGTGCAGAGATGGACTAGAAAAACTCAAAATAGTAAAAATGCCAGTTCTCTCCAAATTGATATACAGGTTTACCACAATTCCTATCAGTATTCCAGCAAGATTATTCTTAGATACAGACAAGATTATTCTAAACTATGCGGCAAAGGAACGATTCAAGCTATAACAATTTTGCAAAGGAGAAGCAAGCGGCCAGAACCAGTCTACCTGATTTCAAGAACAGATAGCTGTGGTAATCAAGAGTGTGTGGTGTTGGCAGAAGGAGAGAAGCACGGATCAATGGAAGAAACAGAGACTTGGAAACAGACCCACACAGACATGTCCAACTGATGTTAGACACACGCAGAAGCGTTGCGATGGAGGAAGGCTGGCCTTTCCAACAAGCGGCGCTGGAGCAATTAGACAGCGGAAGGCAAGAAAGATGGGAAGAAGGAAGAGGAGGTGAGGGGAGGGGGCGTGATAGAGGAAGGGAAGAGGGGAAGGGGAGGGAAGAGGGGGAGGGGGAGAAGAACCTCACCCCAAGGCTTTCAGACCGTATACAGAACTTAACTTGAAATGAATCATGAATTTAAAACTATGATGCTTTTGGAGGAAAACAGGAGAAAATCTTCGGGATCTAGGCTAGGCAACAAGTTCTCGACACCAAAGACACAACCACAAAAGAAAATATTGCTAAACTAGACCTCAGGAGCATCAGAAACCTCTGCTGGGAATGAGCCTGTGGAGAGGATGGAGCCAAGCCGCAGACCGGGAGGCAGGGTTTGCATACCACGCGTGTGACGGGGGACTGAGAGATGGAACACATGGATTCTGAAAACACAAGAGTAAAAACCAAGCCATCCACGTAAAAACTCACCAGCAGATAGAGATGTCGCAAGCAAGAGCATAGGCACAGAGGCCCAGCGTCATCGGGCAGTAGGGACATGCAAGCTAGGTGACGGAGATGAAAGGCAGTGAGCGCCGTGAATGCTGGCGAGGAGGTGGAGACACTGGACACTCGCACGCCTCGGTGGGGGAGCAGCCCGGAGCAGTCACTCTGGAAAACAGCTTGGGGCCGCTCTGAAAGCAAAACCCGCAGCCAGCACATGACCTAGCTGGGCTCCTGGGTGATTCTCCCAGAGAAACGAGGATTTCTGCTCACACCAAAAGCTGCCCACAAATATTCATCCCGTCTCTCCGAGTAACGGACCAAACCCAGAATCGACCCCAACGTCCTCCGGCAGGTGAGAAGGGAAGCACGGTGTGCCCCCAACCAAGGACCACCACTCGGCGGGGCTGGGGGACAAACCATTGACATCCAACAACTTGGAGGGGTCTCTAGCGAGCTACTTACCGAGCAGAACAGCCGATCTCAGCAGGTTACTCGCCGCCTGACTCCCTTTGTGCAGTACTGAGACGACATAGTTTTAGGAATGAGGGCAGATGAGTGGTTGCTGCGAGCACAGGGCAGGGCAGGGGCGAGGGGCAGGGGGGTGGGCGTGGCTCTCAAAGAGGACCAGAAGCAACCCTTGTTGGAACTCCCCATGTGGATCCATGAACCAGCTTGGGTGCTCAGAAGGTAGAGAATCAGGGGCGCCTGGGGAGCTCAGTCGGTTAAGCATCTGAATCGATCTCAGCTCAGGTCTCGACCTCAGGGTCTGAGTTCAACTCCTGCGTTGGGCTCTGCGCTGGATGTGGAGCCCACTTAAAGGAAAAAGAAACATTTTAAGAATGTATGGAACTAATACATACACAAGTACATGTAAAACTGGGGAAAGAGGGACAACATCAGAGAACTTTACCGGTATCAATGCCCTGGCTGTGATTCTCCTACTGTCATTTTATTGTTACTTCTAAAGATTTTATTTAGTTACTGGAGAAGGGAAAGGGAGAGAATCTCAGGCGGAGTCCAGGCTGAGCACAGAGCCTGATGCAAGGCTCAGATCCCACGCACAGCCCTGAGATCATGACCTGATCCAAAAAAACCGAGAGTCCAACGCTCAACCCAGTCACCCAGGCGCCCCTGCTGCCATCATGTTACCTTTGGGTAAAACTACCATGTACGAGGGACCCTTCTGCATTATTTCTTGGAATTGCATATGTGTCCACAATCACCTCTGAAAGATTTTCAGCTGAGAAAACTCCACTGCTAAGAAAGTATTCTGAAGAAATAACCCAAGGGAACTGCCAGGGCGTCAGAGCAGGTGGGCTCCCCGAGGGGAGCTGGGCACAGCTGGGAGCCTCCACGGGGCTGCGTGCTCACCCACGCGGTGTGGTACCGAGCAGCCGTTAGCAATGGCCTGTGCTGCCGTAGTCCGTGGCATGGATACAGGTAGGTGGGGACTTGGTTAAGTGAAAACACTAGATTAGAAAAGAGTACACACAGTAGAGTCTTTTCTGATTTTTAATCTGCAAGCTTGTACGTAAAACCAAGATACGCATCTGATTTGTTTTCCAAGTTATCCTTTTGGGATGGGGTTGTAGGTAGCCGTCATTTTCTCTTTATTTTGGTGTTGGCCGGATTGTTTATGGCGAACAGCGTTCCTGGTATGATTACAGTTGCTAGATAAACTACAGCATACCCAGTGAAATTAAAAACTCGGATAATTAATGTCTTAGTATGACGATGTCCTGTGCAGTATTTGTAACTCTACTTGCTGAATCCACGAATCCTAGTTACGACAAACTCCAGAGCCATTTCCACCTTGGAAAATAACACAGAACCGGCCGCCACAGTCTGGCATCTTCTGTGCTGGAAGGCCAGGGCCAGCGTGTGCATCCGCCCGAACCCCGTGCCTCACTTGGGCACCAACCCCCCTGGGCACTGCCCTCCCATTCTCACCAAGTGCACTTACCAGGTTTCGACGTCTCTGTCCAGCAGCAGACACAGCCGCTCCCCCCCCCCCAGGATCATTAAGTCCCCATCCCTCTTGCTCCCTGGACCCTTGCCCACTCCAACCCTAATACCCTCAAGCCCCTTCCTACCCCGCCCCCTCCCTACTCGGCTTACCATCCATACAGTCGTTGATGTCTGCCCCAGGGCCTTGGTGCTTGATGATTTCTGTGTGCTCCTTCCCAAGGACCCCATCCCGGTCACAAGGCCCCTTGTCCCCCCAATGTGTTGAGGCTCCTCCTGGCAGGCCCTGCTGCCAGTGTCCCCCAAGGCCGTTCCATCTCTGTGGAGCTCATCACTGCTTGCTAGTGTCTCACTGGTAGCTCCTGTGGCCTCCACTGCTCATGACCCTTGCGTTTCCTTCCTTGGGCCCTGGAGGTAGCCGCGGGAGAGGCTGTGGTTCTCCACACGGGCCATCCAGTCAGTGCCCCCCATAACCTGAGTGGTCTTGACACTGTCATCCCCAGCTCTCCTTCACCCCACTTCTACACCCCAGGAAGGGCCAAACCCCAAGGAAGCACCCCAGGGGGTGTTCCCAGCCACATCTCTGTCCTCACTTTTTTGCCTGCGGGGTGTCTCCACTCTTGGGGCCTCCACCTAGACAGGCTCCATCCCCACTGCAGCAGAGAGGTGGGCCGGAGGTGTGCGGGCTCTGAAGGATGCTCTCACTGTCCTCACGCTCCCTCACTAACAATGTCCCCACTTCCCAGGTGCCGAAAGGGAAGCCCTGAGATCTCAGCGGCAGGGCTGGGACAGGGGGCTGGCTGGTGGCCCTGGGAACGCTGGGCCACCTGCCCTGACATCAGCTATGGGCGGTAGGTGCCAGGCTCCTCCGCACCTGCCTGTTCCTGGCTGCATCACTCCGCAGGGTGGCTGACAGTATCCTGACACCAGTGTCCCCTCCGGAACCAAGACAGTGACCATCTGGCACAGCTCTGGGGTTCCAGGGCTGTGTGGGGGGCTTTCCAGAAGCTGTGAAGTGCAGACACTCATAGCTCATCTAGGCCAAAGAAGAAGGTTACTCCAGGCCATGGGTGCCCCAGAGAAAAACTGTGGGGACACCTCCACGCGTCCACATTGGGGACCTGGTGTTCTCTGGCCTCTAACCACACAAACAGACAATGCAAAAGCAGAACACTGCAGGGCACTTCCTCCTGCAGGTCCTGGGACCCACCCAAGGAGGCTTCAGAGGTCCTGGAGAGCAGCGATGGGGATACGTGGATGGGGGATATCCAGGTGGGGAATCACAGTGTCCCGGGGGGTGGGGACTCTGGATACCAAAGTCGGGGATCACAGCGTGGAGGGCAGTGCCCTGGTGAAGGGGATTCTGGATGCCCAGGTGGGGGGGTCACCATGAGTGGGGGTGCCCGGGAGGGTGTGGATTCTGGATACACAGGTGGGGGGTCACATTCGGGGGGTGCCCAGGTGGAGGGGATTCTGGATACCCAGGTGGGGGAATCACAGTGCAGGCAGTGGGATTGTGGGTACACAGGTGAGGAGTCCCAGTCAGGATTCAGCTGGCATCAGTGCCCAGCTGTGCTGGTAGCTGCAGCCTCCCACCAGGCCAAGCTTGGTGTCCACCTCTCACCACCCCATCACCTTGTGATCCTGCCACAGTGTCACAGAAGGCCGGAAAATGCTCATCAAAGATTTGTTGAATGAAGGGGCAGAGCTCTGGAAAGGGCTGCCACGCATCGTGACTCGCTGAGTCCCAGTTTGTTGGGGGCTGGCTGCATGACCAGCAGCACTCCCCTCCCCGCTCCCAGTGTTCCTTTTAAGCACTGGGTGGGCGGCCAACAAAATCCTTCCTGCAAGGGGTCAGAGCAGGCCACACCCGGCCAACCTGCAGGATGTGGAAAGTGCAGGAGCCAGGGTGGACCTGGGAAGTGTTGCTGCCATTCCACTAGGGGAACCTTTCCTGCCCACCCCTAGCCTGGTGCCCAGCCGTCGTGCCAACACAGTCAGCCTATCCTGCCGCCTCGGGACGCGCTTGTCTTCTCATGCTGGGTGTGCGTACATCAGCGGACATACCAGGGAAGGCCCTGCTCTCCTGGAGTGTTAGCAAGGCTGGCCCCCGTAAATGTCTGAGAACAGTGAGGCTGGGATGAGGGGAGGGGCACTGCCTTATAGAGAATGGTCAGTATAGTGACATCTGGGCCAAGATCTACAGGGGTGAGGCAGGCTGAGGACTGAGGAAGAGCATTCCAGGTGGAGGGAACAGCCAGGGCCACTGCCCTGAGGTGGGACCCAGAGCTGGACCCAAGTCCATGAGGGAAGGCAATGTGGACCTGGTCACCACAGCTGTGAGAACTCTGGCTTTGAGGAACGCAGGGAGCCCCCGAAGGTGTCAGTGGGCAGGCGACCACAGCATATAGCAGGGACCAGGAAGGAGGCCGTTGCCATCTAGAGCAGGAGACCACAGGTTTTTTGGGAAGGGTTGGGAAGCAAGTTCTCCCCCACTGGGCTCATGAGCTGCTGGAGGCGGTAGGGCAGTGAGCCGGCATGGCCACGGCCCAGTAAATTCCGCAAGGACACTGACACATTCCAATGTCAGGTAGTTTTCGCACGTCGTGAGATATTACTATTTCGGTTTTTTCCCCAGCCACGGAGACAATAGTCTTAGCTTGGGGCAATTAAACGAAACGAAAAAAACGAACGAATAGCCACAAACGGGTGGCGGGTTGGCCCTGGCCGGCGGCCACCGCGTCCATGCTGTCCCCTGAGCTCCACACCAGTCCCCCCCCCCCCCCCCGTTCTGCGCCAGGCCGCGCGCTGGGAGGCGGGAGCCGCGGGCGAGTGCAAACCACACACAGACGCGCACACCGACTGCCACCGCGGTCGACACTGCGCCCGGACGTCACCCCTGAGGCCCGCGGAAGTCGCGCCCCCCAGGCTGGAGCGGAGCGAGGGGGCCACGGCCGCGGGCCCATGCAGGGGTGGGAGGAGCCGGGGAGCGCGCGGGCAGGAGGGGCGCGGCCGGACCCGCGCACCCGCTGGCCGGGCAGGAGCACCGGCCTCCCTCTGTGACACATGAGCGGTCGTCGGCAACAGGGACAGGCCGGGTCTCTGGTCAGTCCGCACGGTCGGGGCGGTCGCTGCCCGAGCTGGTCACCAGGAAACTCGCACTAAGCGCCCAGATGCCAGCAGAGACCAAGAGGCCCGCGGCCCCGCGCGTGCGGCACCTGCCCGCCGCACGCCCCCAGCCCAGCCCCGAGGCCTCCGGCCGCGGTCACCGCCGCAGCGTCTCCCCGCCCGGCCCCAGGCTTAAGCTCTAATCCGCGCCGTCCCCGAGCGCGGCCGCCCGCGAAGCGCCTTATCGTCTTAGACTGAAGGGCTCAGACGCACCAGCACCGAGCACCGCGGCCAGCGCGCCCCCGCGGCCCTCGCAGCGCCGGCGCACGGAGGAGGACACTCGCGCGGCCTCCGGGTAAGCGCGCTCCGGGCGTCCCCCGCCGTGGGCCCCGCCGGCACCTCGGCCCGCGCCCGCAGCAGGTGCGCTCTCCGCCCTGTGGCTCCGGGGCCCCGCGGCCGGGCGGGCTGGGCGCCGGGCAAGCGCGAGCCGGACGCCGCCGAAGCCGGGACCGGGATGCCACCGCGCGCCCAGCCGCCGCCGGCAGATGCTGCTGCCGCCCACCGGTCCGCAGACCCCGGCGGTGGGGCGGAGCCGGCGCGCCTGGACTGCGCCTGCGCGGTCGGGCCCCCTGGGGCCCCCGGACCAGGCCGGCACTCGGAGATTGCGCCTGCGCGGCCGCTCGGCCCAGGCCCTAGCCAAAGGCCGGCGTGCGGAGTCTGCGCTTCACAAGCAGGTCCGCACGAGCCCGGGGGCGGGGCCCAAGCGCGGGGACTGCGCCTGCGCAATCGGCCCAGCCCCCGCAGGCGGCAGCGCGCCTGCGTCGTCAGTCTGGCCCAGCCCAGGGTCGGAGATCGCGCCTGCGCGGTCGGCCGGGGCTCGCCCCGTCCGCGGTGCCTGGGTCCCTGGTGCAGCCCGCCCTGCCGGCCCCGCCCCCTGCCCCGCCCCGCGCCGCGCGGGGCCCTGGGAGGGGCGCAGCGTCCGGCGGCGTCGCGGGCGGCGGGCGGCGGCGGCGGCGGGAGGGGCCGGCGGGGGCAGACAAAGCCGCGGCTAATGAATGGGAGCGCCCGCCCGCGCCGGCCGTCGTCCGCAGGCGGGCGGGAGCCGCGCCGCCCCGAGCCCCGCGCCCGCGGTGAGTGCGCGGCGGGCGGCGGGCGGCGGGGCGGGCTGTGCCTCGGCCGGAGCTCGCACCCCGGGCCCGGCTGTCCTGGCGCACCGTCGGGGGTCGGGGCTGGAGGGGGGGGTGAGGACGAGGGGCGGGGCGAGGCGGGGTCGGACCGCGGGGCCGGGAGGATGGGGTGGGGTGCGGTGGTCGGGGTCTCCGCGACGCGGTGCGCGCCGGGCCGGGGGCGGCTTCGGGGGCGCGGGCGCGGCCTCCCGTGGGGCCTGGACTCCGCCCGGGCCGCCCGCCTCGGCCGCGGGGCCTGCCTCGCCGGGGCCGGCCCGCACCCCTGGGACCCCCGGCCCGCGCCCCCGCCCCTGGGCCCCCCGGCCCCCCGGCTGACAGCTGGCGCGCGCGGGGCCAGGCGGGTCGCGCCCGAGACGCGTTTTCCGGACGGCGGCGCTCTGTTGACGAAACGCCGAGAGCGCCCGAAAGTTGTGCGGCCGGGGCCGGGCGGGGACCGGGGGCTGTGCCGGGGGCCGGGCGGGACCGGCGCGGGCTCCGCGGTCTGCCCCACGCGCTTCGTCCGCCCCCGCGAGGCGCCCGAGAGCCGAGGCGCGCGCGGCCGCCCGCGCGTTTCCAGGAAGAGCCGCCGCGGCGGGTCGGGGTCCCGGGAAGCGCGTGTCCGGGAAGTGCGGCCGCCGCGGCTCTGGGCCGGGCCCGGACTTCTTGGGTGAGACGCGAATCGAGGTTGCGTTTTCCCGTTGCCGTTGTCCCTCCGGGCCCGGACTCGGTCGTCCGTGGGTCTCGTTAAGCTCTTTTCCGTGAGCGCCACCGCCCCCCCCCCCCATTGCTGGAGGGCGCCGGGCCCCTGCGGCCCCTGCTCTTTCCCGGCGTGGGGTGACCCCCCGCGCGCGCCCCCGCTCTGCGCGCGAGTCTGCCGGGCCGGCCGCGGGGAGCTCCGGCCGCACGTCTCCGCCGAGAAAACGGGAAGTTGTTCCGGAGTTCGCTCTAACGAGATCCCGCGCACCACTTCTGCGAAGCCGCTTCAGGGCGCGCGCGGCCCCGAGGGGTCAGCGTCTGCCGACCTGAGCCGACTCCTGAGATCCGCCCGTTGGGCCTTGCTCCGCGGGGAGCCGGCTTCTCCCGCTGCCGCCGCCGCTCCGGGCCCGCTCCCTCTCGGATAAATCAATGAAATCTTTA